TGAGAATCCAGTTGTCAAAGTCAGGCAAACAAACAAAAGAAAACAAAATGCAAACCCAACACATGCAGCCATTTGACATTTTGGTTCATGTATTGTTCTGTCCAATATTTAATCCTCCCTTCCATGAAGGTGCATTGGCACCATGCACCCAACTAGCCCTGTCAACATGGAGCTCTCAAGCCTCTTGGCTCCAGCCTGTGTGCCATCCTCTCCACGGCAATACTGGTCTGGTTACAAGTTGCAATCAAGTAGGCAGTTATGACTCAGGGTTATGGTTAAGAAACATTGCCCCCAGGGCACTGGGGCATTAGCAGAATATGCCCTAGTTTTAATAATTAATCCATCTTGACCTAAGCTCATTTTACTCTATATTGGTTTTCAATACACTATTTCATAGTTCAGAAAAAGAACATGGTTTTCTTCAAAAGGGTCAAATCTATTACGGAAAAAACATCTGCACAAGGACAACATCTCTCCAAAGGAGGAATCTCTGCAGGACGTGCTGCAGATGCATTTACTACCCACCAGTGCCATCACTTGTTGTCTGCAATAGGCCCAAAGGAGACCTCTCCCTGCTTCTTCCCTTCAACATCCATCCCATCTCAGCTGAGAGAGACTATGTAGCAAAGGGCAACATCCACAAGTTGTGGCCATGTAGGACATGTGGCAAGCTTTCCTATGAGCAAAGTGGTGCAATGTTGAGAAGGGTCACCTCAAGAGGTGGGCACATCCCCACCTCTGGAAGTGCTGGCTGTCCTCCTCCAGTAAGCACTGGAGACCACCTGCAGTCCCTCCCTGTCAGCATTTTGGGGCCTTTCCCTTGAGTCCTGTTGCGTTGTAGGAGACACCAATGGCCCAGATGCTCTCCCAGGTTCTCTGCCTCCACCACAGTTAGTTTCCCCCAGGTCCCCCCCATGGGCCATGCCTGGATGATGGCCTTCAACTCCTCTTGTTACATCCTTAAGCTTCCCAGGAAACACACCCTGGGGAGACACCAAGGTCAGGGCAGTTCTGTGCAGAGGAAGGTGAAGGCATGGAGGCACTGAAAACACAATCAAGAAAATAACACAGATGATACAAGCCACCTCTGAGAGCAGCTTGTTAGATGTGTGTGATTTAACCATCCATAGACACCGTTAATTTTCATAGGAACCAGCAGAACCGAACAACCCATTGATGCAAAACCTGAAAAAACAGACCAGAAAACACCTGGTTCAACTAAATATATGTGGTCTGCTAATGGATCCCCTCATGAACACACAGGAGCCGCATGGCCATACACCCCATGCAATTTGGAAAGGAGACTGTATGAATCTATGTGATGCTGTGCACTTTCTAGGCACAGACACGTGGAACACCAAACGTGGCAAGCCATCACCTGGCTCAGATGATGCTGGGAGCCTCTGATGAGGAGCAGCTGAATCCTGAAGAGGAAAATGCAAGGAGCTGAGGGAAGACCAGACTGAAAACACCACCATTTATTTCTTCCAGATTTACAGCAACAGCTCTGAGAGGATGTAACACCTTGAAACCTTTGATCAAACGCCTGGGTGTCCATGCAGGCAAAGATGAAGCCTGCAAAGAATGTCCCTATCCAGGCATCCACGCACACACTCATCATTCCAAGAAGATGCTTTAAAGAAAACAAAATGCCTGAAATAAGAGACAGCTCAAACAGATTTTTATCATCACATCCTGCACTTATCAAATGAAATCAGAAAGGGGGAGGTGCAGCCTGCTAAATAAACAAGCATTTAACCCTCGCTGTGAAAGAGTCAGTGTCTGAGCTTTGGGGGGGGGGACGATGAGGAAGTGATCATTAACATTGGGAAAATTAATGAGGCTGAATGGAATTAAGTGTGTCATTCATGCCAGGTGAGACATGAGGGAGACCAGCCATCTGCAGCAATGGCTGAGCTGATGGTGCCTGACAGGACACATGTGCAGGGCCAAATCACAGCAAAAAAAAAACCAAACAACTGCAGCAAAAGCCCTGTTTGGGTGTAAAAATCGTCAGAATTGGGGCAGAACGGAAAAGCAACGGCTCAGCTGCTCCCCACTGCACTCAGCATCGCCACTCTGCCCAAGAGTGGGCCGAAACCCACAGTGGTTTTGAGCTAGCGGGTTGTCACCACTTAGCCTTTTGTTACCCCTGCAGCTGCAGCAGTTGATTGGATTCTGTATTAAACATGAGGCAAAGCACAGCCTAAAATCCCTTCCAGGTAGGTTTAAACTTCCAGGGACTTACCTTGGAAGTGAACTAGCCAACTAGCCACTGTTAGCAATTAACTGCTGATGAAATTCTGTCCACACCTGAGCACCCAGCTAGCCCAGAGACCCAGCTCCCCACCAGGAAAACATCTCCACAACCATGCATCCTCTCCTGGCCTGGTATTTGGGTTTTGCCCCATTTTTTGCCTCTTTGCAAGATCCTCAGGCTTGACAGAGTTATCTTGTCACCTTAGACTGAACTGCCTTTTCTCAGGGCTGATCAACTTGCATCATGCAAATTACACAGGGTGGAGGTAAACTTCCTTAGGGGCAGAAAAGGGCATTCAGACGGTTCCTTTTATGTTTTGCAGGTCATTTGCATCCTTATTCTGCCTTTAGGGCAACTCCCCGTTGACTGAACACCTGCTTTTAGCTGCCGGGAGCAGATAACAAACCTCCTTCTCCACCCACCCCCAATTCACACCCCTTCAGAATAGTCAACCAGTGTCACTTGAGACTTGCAAAACCCCTCTCACTTTGTCTTGGTCAAGGTGGAGATGAGCACATTCTCCCACTTACCATATCCCAGAATCACAAAGCCTCCCAGCACACCAAACCCAAGGAAAGTGAAGAGCCACACTAGGTCACGGGATTGGTGGTTCCACATCTCTGAGCCCCGAATGCTCTCACTGATGTCCAATGTGTCAGCCCAGCACAAAGATGCTTCCAAAAAAGGGGAATGGAGAAGAGAAGCCAGCTGGAGTGAACTTTATCAGGGAAAAGCTAGCCAGATGGCCAGCAGCCAAGTGAAAATTAGGCTCTTTGCTGGGAACCAGTGATACTGCAGAAAGGATCACCCGTGCTTAGGCACAGCACTGAGATCTCCTCTAACATCACTCATCCTTAAAGTACTTCTCACACAACTTCAAAGTCTCTGTTTTCCTGTTCTCTGGATGGAGGATCAATGCACAACCTCACTGCAAAGAGACCAGTGGCAAAAGCAAGCACTGAACCCAAGGCGACCATCAGACCTGCAAGATCTTCTGGTCCCCAAGGTAGACAGATGGAATGTAGATGTATGTATTCCCCACCTGGACATGGCCAAGGTTCAGGCAAAGGGCTGTAACCACACAACTTCACCTTGACAGTGTTTCCCTCCCTATAAAACAGAGCATTTCCTCTCTCTGGGGCTGCAGTGAAAACACTTCAATGACTCATAACACAGAAACACTAACAGTAAATTGCAGGAGAAACTCTCTGTGTAAGAAAAACACAAACATTCTCTTTGCCCACTTAAAATTAAACAGGAGTGATATATGACAGCAAATTATATTTGTTCCTTGATTTAAGGTGACAATCTTGATGACAGACCATCAATATCAATCTCTCTTTCTCAACAGCTGCACCTCTGAGAACATATTGAGGGCATCAGCAGAAGCAAAAGCATACCAAAGATCTTAGAGTTGCATTTGCTTAGGTACAACAGCTTGTACATCTAAAGTTTAACCTTTTCTACTCTATTTATTCACACTGCAGCAGTTTTGCCAGCATAGGCTAAGCACTCTGCAAACACAAGCAGAAAACAATGCTCCTGTCCCTCAACAGAGGGGAAGCAGAGGAGGTGGCTCAGTAAAAGCAGATGGGATCTGAGAGGTAAAACTTCCCCTGTGCAGGAGATGCAGCGAACTGCACAAAAGCTCTCAAGGGAGATGCTAACCAACAGATATTTGACACGCAGGTCTCAGCTCTTCACATTATCATACCTACGGGCTGCTGCACCATAGCCAAGTTATTGGGATATGGATGCTCCCACTACAGGTGTTGGGCTCCCAGAGGGACAGGGTAAGCATTGCTCCAAACCTTCTTGCTGTGGCTGAAAAGCCACAAGCCTTATTACTTGAAAAGCCAGACAGAGGCCAGAGTGGCACAGGGCTGGTTCCCAGGAGATCTGCGGGCAGCCCCAGCAGCCTCACTGGGGCTCAGTGCTCCTGGTGCTGGAGTTGTCCTGCTGGTCCCCACTGGGACTGCAACATCCAGCATGAGATGACCCAGTTGGACTGAAACCTCATGGGTGATCATACCCTATCTTTCAGGAACATGCATACACTGCCAGTCAGGGTGCATAAACATTGAGAGGAGGCTCAGACAAGTGGCTTATAGATTTAAACTGTGCCTAAACCTTGAACAAAATTTAAGGGAAGCTTAGGAGAGGCCCAAGCTTTCATGCAATTGGTTCATACACCCCAAGCCAACATCAAGCACCATGAACTCCAAGTCTTCCTATACAGGGAGCAGACATTAGATATGCCTTGCAGACCCCACATCCAAACAAGCCATCCCTGCTGAGCTGACAGTGTGGAGAACAACTATTACAGGGATTGATTCATCCCATGCAGATACTTACAGCAGGTCAGGGGCAGGTGCTTCCTAAACATATCCATTTCCCTCCAGTGACTGTAAAAGGAGGCTGGGAGAGACTGGTTCAGTAATAGGTAATTGCAGAAGAGGGCTCCAAATCTGCTGTGAAGCCCAACTACAACCAGAAACAAGCTGTCTGTGATGCATAGTCCTCCAACATATTGAAGGTTGTCTCCAACCCTTTTGAGACCCCCAAGTACATCAGCAGTCTAAAATTCTCCCATCAGCCTTGAAGAGGCAAACTACAGGGAAACCCATGATAAAAATTACATCTGGAGGTTCAATAGAAGAGGCCTCGCCCAAAGGCTGCAGGGAAGCCCAGGAGGGCTGTATTTCCAGGCTTACAAGTGCTGAAAGCCATCACCACTCACCTCACTTTCCAGGAAACCCTGGCAGGATCTGACCTCCCTTCCACACTCTCCTCCTCTCTCCTTTTCACAGTCAACCAGGACCTATATGACATTACAACAAAAGAAACGTCAGCAAGCCCAGCCTTGTCCCATCCCTCCAGCTGAAAAGCTTCATTTACTCAGTTCTTCAAAATCAGGATGCACTGGAAAGCAAGTGTATAGAAATCACAGCTTACATATCTATTTAAATATTTATATATGTATTTATTTTGTACCTATATTACCTACCTAAATAGACATATAAACTGGGGAGGTGACAGGAGCCCCTTGTGAGCAGCTGAGGCAGCAGCAAATAGACTAGCATGAATGATGGAGCACTACGGCCTGTCACATGATGAACACTCAGGACGACCCAGCAACAGGGCACCATGTCCTCCTGTGACGTTCACTGTCAGCTCTAAAGCAATCCCTCAAATGTTCCTAAATGGTAATGGGAGGAAATACAGCCAGGAGTGCCAGACAGCCTGGGATGATGAAGAAATGTCCTGAAAGTGCCCACCTAAGGCTGGCCAAAAACAGCGAGGAAAAAGAGGGGAGGCAGAGGACCAGTGCTGCATGACCCAGAGCATCCCAGCAGCATCATGGAGAGGATGTGAGATTTTCCTCATGGTGCTCTCCACATGCTCTGACATCCCATGTTACTGCCCAAGGGTTGCAATGGACAGCCAGACGACAGCAGGCTGCTGCTCAGGCACACAGCACTGTGTGGGGTGGTGGTCCCAGTGGCCTTTTTCTCCCACCATCTAGGTCTCCATTCTCTCTTTCTTCTCAGGCCACTGGACCCGTTGTCAGGGCAGCCATATATCACACAGCCATATATCAGACACAGAGCCATATATCACACATGATCTGGAGGCAGAGCAGGGTAAGGGGACCTCTATTACCATCAGAATAGCCTCATCACTCAGCCTACTTAACCCAGCCACATTTGCACTGCTAAATTTGGGAGAGTATGAGAAGCATTCCCTCAGAATGGTGGGGGAGGGACAGGCAGGCTTTTGGCCTCCTTTAACTCCCTGCCAAGTGCTCTGTAATTCAAAGTCCATGTCAGGGATGCTACCCCAAGCTGTGCAGCAATGGCCCAGACCCAGCAAACCTGGAGATCCAGTGCCTTAACCCCTTGGAGTCAGCATCTGAGCCTGGCTATTTAAAGATGATTGAGTCAGGCTTTCTGAAACAGATCCCACTGACATAACAGGTTTCCAGGAGGTATATTGAGGGGAATGTGGGACATCTCCATGCAGGAAAGGAGGCACTTAACTTCAGATAGCCTAGTTTGAAGACCCTGCCCTGAAGGGATGCAGTGCTCAGCTTGGTAACAGCTAGCAGCAATCACTACATTCAAACTGATCTAAGAAGCTGTGAATGACAATTTGAGTGCAAAATAGATGAAGTACTCAAGAAGGATGGCATCAATACCTGCAAGTAAAAAGGGGTCACCATCCCTGGTAGCACCTACAAACATTGCCTTGCCCTGACCTGCAGCAGCGGCACCTGAAAACATCCGATCACCAGCTTTTGAGATGGTAGAAGTAAATGAAAGCTCTTTCTCATTCTTGTTGCTGGAGGGCACAGGAAGGAAATGCACATTACAGTAACTTTTCTGGGCCTGTTTTCCATAAACACCATCAGCACCTGCACCCTCCTGCAGATGCCCAGAGAAATGTGCCCCTGGAAACACAACCCACGAAACGTCTTAGGGGGTGCTGCTGCCTACACCCAACAAATAAACACGGTATTAACCCCACAGGGTGCCAAGTCCAGTGGTGCATGAGGTGAGCCAGAAATCTTCCCCTACATCAAGACGCTCGAAGGAGCTTTTGAGAGATCCAGGCATGAGCATGGGCAATTGGCCGCCAAGCTTGGGCTGCTCTCCTGGGACCTTTCCCAAGCGATTCACACGCACCCCAGAATAAAAACCTAGGCTTGTTTTCCCTAAAAGTGGGCATCAAACACTCTGACATCAAGAAGGATGATTAAAGACAGTTGAGTTAGGAGGAAAGATTAAAAGAACTAATATATGCTCAACTTGGCTAAGCAATGACTAAGAGGAGACATGATAAAAGACTCCAGGCATCTGAATGAAGGGAGTGGCATAGCATTAAAGGACTGAATAAAATATCGCTCTGAGAAATGGATCCATCAATGATCTCCCAAGAGATAAGGTACAAGCCTCATTTTTTAAGCATTTAAAAACCTCAGTCCCTAGAAGTGAGGTTTTTGAGCAGAAATCCATTTTGCCCCGAAGGAAGCACGCACCAAAGCTTTTCATCTCCAGCACCGGGTGCTGCGAACAAAGCTTGTGATGCCATAAGGCAGCACAGGAAGCTTGGGAAGTGGCAAGTATTTCATTCTGCCTCACCCAAGAAACACAGATAGGCTTTTTCACCGAAATTAAGAAAATAAATCCTTTTCACTGCTTATTTTTCATTCAGCAGCCCTAATCCATAATGTTTTGGGTTAAGAAAACCCTAAATAAATAAAAAGGAAAATAATCACCAGCCCATTCAAAACGAAAAGCTCTGGGGGGTTTACAAGTAGTTGAATTTCCCCCAATAATTAAAGACATATGGGGTCCCACAGTTGCAAGAGAATGGCTTGAGCTGGGCAGTGGCACTCCCAGGGACTGTGAGCCCAGAAGCTCTTCAGAGCCAGCCAGACCCAGCACACGCATGGGCACAATGACATGGAAAATGTCATGGAAAAGGAAAAGCATTTCAATACCTGTCTTTTCTGAGACCCTTCAGAAGCGGGGCCCTCTGAAACCTAAGGACCTGATACACTTTATAGAGATCAGAAATAAACCTTAAGCCCTGAGAAAACCGCTCAGGAGGAGAGCTAAACCTGTTACACTGGCTTTGCCTCAGAAAGCTCTGTATAACGCATGTAACATACATATCTACCTAAATACCAGCTCTGTGAAACCAAAGCAGTGCATTTTGTGTAATTGCACATCATGTCCAGCCATATGAGGGTCTCCTGAACACCCTCCCCAGCATGGACACACAAAGGTGTACCCAAGACAAGGCGCTTGACCTGGCCAACAGTGTTTACTGAACACAGACACATGCACAGTGAGGTTTCCACCAACACCAGCTTGTCAGCTCATCTGAGGTGCCTGGGGGTTGCAATTAACCCCCAGATGTTCTTTCAAGTGCTTCTGCCCTAAAATGCTTGGCACAACTAGGTCATCGGATATGATTTACAAAGCTCAGCAGCATCCCAAATTTGGGTACCTAAGAGACTGCTTCATCCTCAGCAGGGAAAAGCCAGAAGACATTCGTCAATGGTGCAACATTAAATCACAGTTAAATTCAGCCAATGGCCAGATACCATCAAGGAGGTGGTCCTGTCCCAGTTCCCCCTGGCTCCCCTGACCTGGTGAGTCCATGCAATTGGATCTAAGAGAAAACTAGCTGGGGAAAATAAAAGGAAAAAAGAAAGTAAATCATTTTCTTGGAATGAATTCCCTAAACCAGTTCAGTGGGGTTCAGGCAAGTCCTAGAAATCTTTCCCCTTTTGGCATGAGCGAGATCAGCTGAACTACAACATGTGACTGCAATCCAAGGCAACCTTTGTGTGCAAGGCCAAGAGTGGATCTTTCTGATCCCCTTCCCTTTCCCACAGCAACCTCTTAAGTCTGTCTGCAACTGCCTTTCTCCATGGGAACAGGAGATCCCCCATTTACTGACTGGTGAGTTTTACTGCAGGGCTGAAACAGGATGTTCACAGAGGATTTTATTATCTACTTTTTTAATAAGTGGAGCGCTATAGTACGCTGTGAATCTTCTTGCTTTATGCTTGCTTGTCTCTTTGGGAGGTTGAAGCACAAAACCAGGCTGCCAGATTCATTTTATATACTGAAGAAACATGAGTCTCCCCAATCTGAAAGGCAGCCAAACATAAAAAGACCTGTTCAAAGTGGAGGAAACTGCACTTACAGTTTCGAATGAAAAGGGAAAAAAATCAAAACATCTGAGAGAGATTATTATACCTTCTATTAAACCTTCCTCTTCCCATACAGAATCAGCTGCAAGAACAGTGATGCTCGAGATAACCAGGCTCGGGGTATCACTGTCACAAAGAATTAAAGGCTTGCAGGTTGTATTCAGACAGCTCCTTCCTTTTCTTTTGATGTTAATTTTAGGTATCCCTGCCCAGGCCATGACTGCAGTTTTACTCTGCTCTCATCACGCATTCAGACAGTCAGACAGATAACCCTGGCAGCCCTCATATCTAGCGTGGAAGGACGACAAAACCCCTCTCTGACTCACAGCTCATCCTTACATGAACAGCTTTGGGTATATGAAGATCAGCTAGTTAATAAGAAACAACTGTCTCCAAAAACACAAAGTTTCTACTATTGAGAACAATGAATTGGGATAATGCATTTAAAAAAGAGGGAGAGGAGCAGGTCCCAGTGTAAGGGTGCATCTCCTGCATCACTCACCCAAACGGATGGTGCTGCAGCAAGGAGTGATGGAGAAAGGTGAGACCAGTGTGGTCCACGCACCCTGCCATGGATGAGGGAGGGATGGGGGGAAGCTGTAACCCAGAAGAAAACAAAAAGCTGGATCCCTGTGGCTCTGCACAGAACTGTACCCTGTGGGACCACAGCTTGTTGCTTCACTACAGAGCCCTGCAACCTCCACAGAGCTGGCATAGAAACCACCCCTCCTCAGGAATAGTCCCTCTGAAAGCCTGGGAGAGCTGACTACAGTTACTGACCTGTAAAGAAACCCACTTGCTGCCACACTTTCTTGACTTGCATGGAGCAGCAGAAGAGGCTGACCCTGGGTGCAGGCTTTGCAGGGGGCAGACACTTTGCTGCTTTCACCCCTGCCCATCGCTGGCAACAATGACTCAGCAGCTGCCCCAGCCACCACAGCGACTTCTGTATCCCTCCCTTGCTAAAATAACCTAGTGGGGCACCTTTTGCTGCTTAAGAGAGGTGATTGCCAGCACAGTCATGGAGAACATCTTGCTTTCCAATGGAAAGAGCCTCAGGATACCTTTGGAACTGCCTGGGAAAGACACACTAA